GGTCCTGGTGAGTCAGTGTGCAGCTGGCCGCCGGGAGCAGGGGCGTGGGCTGCCCCGAGGTAGCCCATCAGTCTCGTGCAGTCGGCGTGGGCCATGGCTTTATAGAGGGAATTCAAAATGCCAGTTTGGGGATGGAAGTAGCTCAGCGGTAGAGCACAAGCTTAGCATACGCTAGGTCCTGGGTTCAATACCCAGTACCTCTATCAGAAATTTAAAAAGCCAGTTAAACAGAGATGCTGGTGGAGTGGAAGCTGGTTAAGAGAGTTTCAACTGTATTAATAAATAGAATAAAAGCATAGCAGACAAGCATTCAATTATCCCTTCAGCCCTGACTACACTCTAATTAAAACATCATTTAAAATTTATACAAAATATAAACAACCTTTGAGTTATTAACTTATAATACAGAAATATTGTTTTACTATTTCTATGGTCATTAAAATCTCTCTATACACCTAACACATTTCATTTAAACCTTTATTAAGCATGCCATTAGTTTAAAAAAAAGAAAGAAAAAAGAAAACAAAACCTGCAAACAACTAAGATGCATATAGCAGTCAACACGCATCAGGGTTCCCACAGAAAGAGGCCCCATGGGCCTCTGTAGAGGATGGCTTTGCCATGAGCTGTCTCCCCCAACACTGGCAACAACTGACACTTACTGAGGGTCAGGTGCTGCTCAAAGTAGTTTATCCTCATTAACTCATCAACATCATGTCATCTCCTGAAGTGTAGGTGATCATTACCCCATTTTACAAATTAAAGTCAAGTAATTTGCCCAAGTTATCCAGCTACTCGGCCGCAGAGCTGGGAACTCAACTCGGCTGTCTGGCTCTTAACGACTAGGCTACACTGGGAAGGCACAACTGATGGAAGGTAACTCCCAGCGACCGCTAATCCTGACCTTGAACTGTCCGCTGTTACAAGCAGAGGTGCCATGAGCTCGCTCTCCTAGGCAGGAAGCGCTCTACAGTCAGAAAGCCCCCAGTGTTACAGGTCTATCTCTCCTCGTTTCATCACTAACTCTGAGGGCAGATGAGACTAGTTAGGAAGGAGAATCTGGCAAAGCAAGAGTTTCCCAAATAGGTTCTTATGATGGGAAGTGGAAGGGGCACTGGGCTCCAGTCAAGGGACCAAGGGTGCCTTTCAGCTCTGACACACACGTCATGTCTCTTGGGCAAGTCACCTTACCTCTTTAAGCATCAACTTTTTAACCTGTATAATAAAGGGACAGCCTCTTGGTGGCTTTCTAACAATTTCAGGAGGACAGAACTCTTTCGTTAAGGAGAAGCCTTCCAGGCTGAAATCCATGAGGACAGAGATGCCGTAGGTGCAGTCACTCGGCGGGCAGCCCTACCAATCCCCTCCCCTCCACCTTCCCCGGCAGAAGGATACACCATGAGTGAAGGTCACAGGTGAAGAGCAAGGTACGGAATGGCTGTAACACAGTGGCTCAGGGAGTGAGAATATGGGGAAACGGTGGCCTAAGGAACAAGCCGCTTCTTGGGTCCATAAGAGATGGGAGGACCCACGGCAAACCACTACCCGCAAGACCGGAGAGAGAGGCCAATACAGGGAGTCGCGGCTTCTTGGAGCAGACGCACCTGCAAAACCACTGCCAGGGCAGGAACGCCTACTGTGGCTGACAAATTGCTGGAGGCCCAGTGCAGACAAGTCGGAGAGTTAAAAACCTATTCACCGGGGAGCCCCACAGTATTGTGAGACTGACCTCCGGGAGTCAGGCTTCCACAGTGAATACCAGAGAAACATCCCCTCTCGCTTCTGGCAGGGAGAGGGGGAAGAAGAACCATTTTTAAATACTCCAGAGTGCTCTGTTCTTAACAAGGCCTGCCTCCAGGGAAATCTAGTTAACCACAGCCTAACCTGCGTATTATCAGAGCCTAATTGACCTGGGGGAAGGGAAATACTCAACTCCACCCCATTCTAGTCATCCTGCCCCATCTAAGGGGGAGTAAAAAACTGAGAACCACTTGTGAAGTTCAGACTCCAGAGGCGCAGGCTCACTGAAAGGCTGAGACCTAGTCAGGGGGCTGAACAACACTTCCCGCTCCCCACGCCTCATCACCATGCTACCAGAAGTCTATTCACAGCAGTTCCTTCTACCTAGAACATCATGTCCAGGTACCAAGAAAAAAATTACAAGGCGTATCAAAAGGGAAAACCCCCACAGTATGAAGAGACAGACGAGCATCAGACCGGAGATGGCAGGGATGTTGGAATTATCAGACAGGCAATTTAAAGCATCTGTGACCAGTATGTTCAGGGCTCTAATGGATAAAGCGAACAGCATGCAAGAACAGACGGGTGACGTAAGCAGAAGAGACAGACTCCTAAGGAAGAGCCAAAAGAAATGCCAGAGATCAAAGACACTGCATCAGAAATGAAGAATGCCTTTGATGGGCTTATCAGCAGACTGGACACAGCTGAGCAACGAATCTCTGCACTTAAGGATATCTCACTAGACTCTTCCCAAACTAAAAGGCAAAGAGAACAAAGACTGGGGAAAAAAACAAGAAGAGAATATCCAAGGACGCTGAGACAACCACAAAAGGTGTCACAGATGCATAATGGGGACAACAGAAGTAGGAGAAAGAGACAAAGGGAAAGAAGAAGCATTTGAAACAATAAGGATGGATTATTTCCCCAAATTAATGTTGGACACCAAACCACAGCTCCAGGAAGCTCAGAGAACACCCAGCAGGATAAATGCTACGGAAATCAGATCAGAGCATACCATTTTCAAATGACAGAAAATCAAAGATAAGATATTCTGAAAAAAATCAGAGGAAAAAAAAGCCTTACCTATAGATGAACAAAGATAAGAATTATATCTGATCTCACCTCAGAAACCATGCAAATAAATTGTGCTCTACACTGGAATTTGATACAACATTGTAAAATGATTATAAATCAATAAAAAATGTTAAAAAAAAGAAAGAAACCATGCAAATAAAAGTAGAATGAAATATTTGAAGTGGTGAGAGAAAAAAATCCCACCAATCTAGAATTCTGTATCCTGCGAAATTATCCTTCAAAAGTTAAGGAGTATAAAATAGATAAACAATAAGTTTATACTGTGCAGCACAGGGAACTACATTCAATATCTTGTAGTAACTTATGGTGAAAAAGAATATGAAAACGTATATATGCATGTTCCTATATGACTGAAGTATTGTGCTGTACACCAGAAATTGACACATTGTAAACTGACGATACTTTAATAAAAATATATTTAAAATTTTTCTTAAAAGATAAATATTTTATTGTTATCAACAACCAAAAAAACTTAAGAATAAAAAAATAAAAACTTTCTCAGACAAAAAAAAATTTGAGAGAATGTTGCTAGTAGACCTGCCTTGCAACAAATATTAAGTACTTTAGAGAGAGGAAAAATAATGCAGGTCAGAGACTCAGATCCAACATAAAGAAGTGTATTGAAGAAGGAATAAGTAAAAGTAAAGTGAAAACTTTTATTTTTCTTGTGCTAATTAATCTAACAGATAATAACAGTTCATTCAAAATAATACCAACAATATATACTTACATATACATGTTATGTATGTGTTATGCTGATGTATGCTTTACACATGTGTGACCTTATATTATGCATATATTACATATGCTTATGTATACATGTATTGTGTATGCTTATGGATACATGTGTGTGTGTATATATATATATGCTTATGTATGCTTTATATATAAGTGAAGTGAATGACAGCAATGACACAAAGGACTAGAGGAAGAAATTTGATCTACAGATTCAATGCAATCCCAGTCAAAAATCCCAAGCTATTTTGTGGATATTGACAAACTGATTCTACAGTTTACGTGGAGAGGGAAAAGACACAGAACAGCCAACACAATACCGAAGGAGAAGAACAAAGCTGGAAGACTGACACTATTCTACTCTGAGACCTCCTATAAAGCAACGGTAATTAAGACAGTGTGCTATTGGCAAAAGAACAGACAAATACATTAATGGAACAGAAGACAGAACTCAGAAATAGACCCATATAAAATCCATCAACTGATCTTTGACAAAGAAGCAAAGACAATACAATGGAGCAAAGATAATCTCTTCAACAAATGGTGCTGGAAATGAATGCAAAACAGTATAGCCACTTTGGAAGGCAATTTGGCAGCTTCTTACTGAGTTAAATACACTTTTACCATAAAATTCAGCAGTCGTGTTCCGTGGCATCTACCCAAAGAAGCTGAAAAATTATGTCCACATAAAACCTGCACATGGATGTTTACAGCACCTTTACTCTAGTAGCCAGATAGTGGAAAGAGCCCAAATGTCCGTGAACTGAAGAATGGATAAACAAAATGCGGTACACCCATACAGTGGAATATTTTTCCACAATAAAAAGAAATGAAGTACTAATACGTGCTACAACATGGATGAACCTTGAAAATGTTACACTCAGAGTGAAAGAAGCGAAACACAAGGGACCACATATTGCATGATGCCATTTATATGAAATATCCAGAACAGGCAGATTCAGAGAGACAGGAAGCAGATTAGTGGTTACTGAGGGCTGGATGGGAAGGGTTTGGGGGAAATGGGAAGGGACTGCTAACAGGTACTGCGGCTTCTTTTGGGGGCGATGAAGATGTTCTAAAACTGACTGTGGGGATGATCATTCAGCTCTGCAGCCTGGGAGCCTTGTGACCTTAGAAAGGGACTCTTCCTGGGCCAACTGCTGTCTCCGTAAAATGTCAACCACATGACCGACCTCACAGAGTCAAGCAATTAAATTAAACCGTGAGTGTGAAAGTATTTCACAGTATCAGGCACATAACAGGCGTTTCATACAAGCTAAAAAAAATAATGAAGTACGCAAAAGCACCTTGGAAGTGACAAATACCTTCACAAATGTCAGGTGGTTTTATAATTTCATACATAAAATTATAACATATATTAACAGAAATAATCGGTTTTCAGTTTCACAGGCTACTTTCCAAAGACTCACTTAAGCTCAGTGCCCCACTGTTTCAAAGAGAAGTTAATGGAATTCGGATGCCCTGGGGCGGGCTGATTTGCAGCTTGCTCTCCCACCAGCTCTCCAGGGGCAGTCTCCACAGCTAGGACATTTCTGGCTTTTTCAGCAGAAGCATTTTGGTGTGGGTTAATTAAATCTGAAAGAAAGACAAACAAGTGTCAGTTATTCAGAGCTTCCACAGGGAACCTGATATCCGACATTAAATACTGTCTTGATACACTATGTAAAAAACGATATAATATATATTATATTTTTAATGTATACTACCTAAAAATACAATCTGTGAATGTATTTTAGGGTGTTCTGCAACCATTTTCATCCAAAGTAGATCCACGTTTCTCAAAAGAAGATTGTATATGCTTCAAACCACCAAGTGTTAAGAGGATGGCCCAGGGAAAGAAAAGGCTCGGGCTCCCCTTTGCTCTCCTGCATATCGGGAAGACTGGCATAAAGCTGAGATCATGGTCCACTCACCTGTACCGATAAGGAACAATTTCCAGGATAAAGTATTAGGTTGGAAAAGAAAAAAAAAAGGGCAGACCAGATTATACGAATGCTCTTTCCTGTAAGAAAGTGCAGGGAACAGAATATATACATATTTGTTAACTGCAAATAGTGACACAAAAAAAGTTTGCATATCAAAGGAGTTCAGTAAACTCACAGGCAAATGCAATGATGCTAAAATATGATCAAATTTCAGAATATATATTTTTCTTTCCTATTAAAAATTTATTCAGTGTTTAGTACATATTTTTATGTTGTATTTTTTCTCTCTAACGTAATACTTTAAAATTTCAGAATACAATAGCTATCACAAAATAGAGATACACATACTGCACCAATTTCTTTTAAAATTAGTGCTAACACAGCATGAAGGGAATACAAAAACTTCAGAATATATTTTTAAATTTAAGCATTTGAAATATTTAAGGCTGCAGTCGTATGAGGCCAAGGATATGCTTCAAAGCAATAATATTTTTGTATCTTTAAAATAAATATTTGCTTCAAATAACATGTTATTTGCTTCCAAATAAAATTCAGTGGGTAGGGGCATCAGTGAAACAAGACGGCTCATGAAATACTAACTGTTGAAACTACCTGATAAACATGTGAGTAATATTATGCTATTCTCTCTGCATAGGCTTAAAATTTCCCATAAGAAAAACTTACTTTTCTAAAGTTTTGACAAATGTACCCAACAATAAATACTTTGTATTCTTCCAAATGATATCTCTCTGAGAATATACATGTTTATAAACAGAATTTAACACTGTTTCACAATAATCAATCTGATCTGTGCTTCCCTTTAATAAAGCACCCCTCCACTGGCAATATTAACCATCATTACTCTTTCAAGGGAAAGAGAATCAGAATGGAATGCTTAACAGTAACATCCACAAAGAAAATTATTTTCTAATCAGATGAGCACACAACCTGAGTCACTTAGGACAGGTCACTGGGCACTGGCAGAGAAGGGAGAGCACAGGGAAGCCTGGACTCGGGCCCTTGAAAATTGATGTTCTGAATACGAACACTTTACCATAGGCTCAAACTTTGTTGCAAGGTCACTAACTTGACAGCAGGGAAGGGCTCCAGGTAACACTGGGAACGGTATGCTGGGTGTGACACAAACAAGTGACTGCATCAGGGGAACGGGGTCCTGGTCAGGAGAGCCAACACGTGGCTCATAGCAGGGTCCTGAGCAGGAAAAGCAAGAGCGTGGGCTGGGAGACAGAAGAACTATGGGCTTGGCAGATTACAAGATTTAGTCAAGAAAGCAGAAGTCGCAAACCACACTGATTCCCGATTCTTGGTTCCGATCAACACCGTGTATGAAGCACTAGGTGCTGGGGGTACAACAAACAGTGAGACAGAGTTCTTGCCCTAAAGGAGAACACATCTAGGAGAGACACAGAATAACAAAATGTTAAGTTCCAAGTCACCACCGAATGCATCAAGTCCCTGGTATCCAGACCTTCCTCTGAGTCTTAGGGTCCAGGAGATGCCTCGGGCATATTCAGAGGGAGAGAAGGAAGGGGTCCCACCCTCAGCTTCAACCACAGTGGTTCCTCTTTTCACTCTTTTATATGTTGGAGTTTCCCTCAAGATTTCATTTGGAAAAAGAGTTCCAATAAACAAACAAAAAACAAGTTTGAAGACCAATAATCAGGTCCAGTCTCCTCTACCTACTTCATTAGTCAGAACATGAAAGCCCACAGCTGGGGCCAGAAGGCAGCCACCTGCCCCTGCAGTGGACAACAATCACAGGCCAGGTGCAGTGGCTGCACCTGGTGGAGGGGGCACCCAACATCTGACAGTGTGTGTCCGTCAGTGGGGACACAGTACACCTCTTCTATTTCCAACAAAGGCAGAGCTGACACCCAGGCTTCCCAGAGGCTGGTCTTTTGCAGACCCCTCACAGGTAAAGCATGACAACTCTAAGCCAAGCCTGAAATAAACCCAATGTATTGCACCCGTGGCTGTTGCGAGCTGGTGCAGCCCCCTCTTCCTGTGTGGGCTGGCAGCAAGGTGAGGAGCAGCCCCTCTGCGGGTGACACCGTCAAGCGCTCTCGCGTGGCCAAGCGCCTGCTACCGAGAAGCCCACATGCTGCAGCAATGCTGGGCCCACACTGGAAATGCTTCCTGAGGAACTTGGGCCCTGGGGGTGGGGTGCAGAAGAGACTGGAGGCCAGGGAGGATGTTGGCAAAACAGACTGTTTCTGTAAGTCATTATTTCACGTAAGAAAGAAGCCATTCCCCAAGTTTAGCTATTATTGTTATTTTGTCTGGTTTTCAGTTTTTAAAAGACCATGTGAGATTTCCTTAATTAAAAGTGGAGCTGCTGGCTTCTCAATTCATGTGGTAACTTAGCATTCGGGGAACCACCTCAAGAAGGACGCAAATTAGGCCAGGGCAGTATTTCCTTGACGTCTTTAAGAGGATGGACTGGATTCACAAACGTGTGCTTTATCTTGCAGCTTCAGTGGGGAGAAGTTTGGTGTTTAAACCTTCTCTATTATTTTTTAAAATTTCAAATGCCTAAATGACAGCTCTGAGCAAGTTCTGGGCTACAAATTTTATATTTCCTGGGTTCTGATTCCAGTACAGCCTCTTTCATTCCAGTGTGGCCATTCCCAGATCTCCAGGAGCCCTTCCTACTGGACGCAAGCTGACATCGGGGCCCAAAGTCTCCCGCTGGGACCCACACAGGGGAGGCTCCTGCTCACATCTGGGCGCCTCCGTCAGTCTTCCCCTCCTCTCCTGCTCCCGGCCTGCCTGCTCGCCGTCTCAGTCAGGCCCGGGCCCCCCTCCAGCAACCTCGCAGAGAGCAGAACCAAGTGCTGCGGGACACTCCCCATAAAACCCAGTCCCGGACACAGCTGTGTCCAAGAGGAGGGCAGAGCACTGGAAAAGGGCCACTCCCACGGGCGTCAAAGAACAACGCAAAAGAGAGCCTGCAAGTCCTTGCTGCAAACTGGAGGGGGCAGACAGGGTGGG